ACTTGGCCTTGTGGAACTTCATACACCCTTTTTCTGTTTCATCTTACCAGGCTATTGAGACTGACTTTTGAATATACGTTTTCTTTCTGTCCATATAAAATAGACATTCTGTCAAATAACTATTACATTTTCATTCCACACACAAGGGGAATGGTTTCTGAACAACTTCTAGTAACTGCTTGTGCTTAGAAAATGTGTCTGAGGTCGTGACCCAGCAAGGGTCTCTGCCTAAGTTTAATGGAGCATGCATAGCCTGATGGAAAGTGTTTTATGTCAGTGCTGGGAAAACTGAGGCCTAAGTAATGATGACACAAAGATTGCAGAGCAAGTGCAAGTCATAAGACAGAATGATGATGCAATAACATATCCTTAGAGAGTGTGTATTTTTAGGCGTGTGAGGTTTTCTCCAGTTATTTTTGTCTGGAGTGATGATGTAATTCTTCAGCACTTCCTGTAAGAGAGAGGTCTATTTTCTAGTAACCCTTTGTTAAAATGCTGTCAGTGAAATATTTTAAATTTTTCCAAACACCCTCGTTAGTCTTGAGAAGAGATTTCTGTTTCTCTTGCTCAGGTGTTCCAGACCTTTTATCGTATCCGTTGACGATATCATGTTTCAGAGGCCCGTTGAGGTTGGATCCTTATTACTGCTTTCTGGACAGGTAGGAGTTCATTTCATTTTGAAAAGGAGAAAAGCTTACCTTTGCTGTAGTCGCTGTTCATCACTGCTGATGACCAGTGCATTATGAGAGTGTGTGACTTCCCTCGTTAAACAGTGAAAAAAGCGTGTTCCCATTTTTCAGTGCAGTCTAACGAACTAGAACTCTTAACCGTGTAGGTCTGTTACACAGAAAAAAACTACATCCAGGTTCGAGTGCACAGCGAGGTTTATGATGCAGATACCAGGGAGCACCAGACGACCAATATCTTCCATTTTACATTTGTATCGGAAAATGAGGTCCCACGGGTTGTCCCCAAAACTTACGGAGGCAAGTATCCGATTCATGCGTGGTCAGCACAGCTCTGTGGGCAAGACGGCTTGCTTTCTGTTGAAACCTTGGTAATTTCCATAGGTGAACTATTGGGATTTGAAAAATTTAACAGGATTTCATGGCACACCACATCTGTTTTATGCTTGGAAGACAGTGGGGATTGCTTCTTGACCTTACCATTCTGGGTGGTTGCCCAGCGTTGATGCTAAGTTGCCAATATAGTTGTCTCTTTTTTTTTGTTCCAGAGTCCATGTTGTATTTAGATGGGAAACGACACTTTGCTGCAACCATGAAAGAAATCTGAGGGGCACCGAACGCTGCCATCGGCAGTGTAGCAGCGCGCTGTCTCAGAAAGATTTGTCACCAGAGGTGTCTGACAGACAGGTGCTTGCAGTACTGGAAGAAAACTAGCCCAAAACAAAAACCCCAAACCCCACAACAAAAAGTACCTTTTTAGTGCTATTTATGTGTTTGCATATATTTGGATTTTTTATTCTCTGCTACTGGGGTTTGTTGACGTTTACTTTTACATGCTGATGCTGGGGGAAAAAAGGCTGAAAAACGACAATCTTAAGCTTGAGATTGCTTCTCTTTTGTCTGCTTTGAGAGATCTCTGTATGACCGTTGCTGTCTTGTCACCGAACACCTCTCCTTGTGTTTCCCTGAGAAGGGCTAGAAGCTCTCTCGGAAAAACGTCTGCAGTAAGCAGATGCACACGAAGTTCCTGTGTACGTCAGGCTTAGGGTCTCGCTGCCTTTTTAACAAGGACGCGTGCGTCCGGGCAGCAGCACAAGCGCAGGGTTACTGGTGTGTGCACAGTGTAAAGCAGGTGTTCCCTATCGCCTGGGATTTTACAAGGTTGTTGCTGCTTCTCTTTTGGGTGGTTTCGTGTTCCCTTGGGAGGAAACTGTTTTTTGCAATGAAATGAGGTGGCCAGATGGTCTCTTCTAGCATTGTTTGTGTACAGCCATTCCTCGCCAGCCTTTTCTAACCCCTTTTTTTAAAAAAATAGAACTGCACGTGATTTCCCTAATGAATTATTTCTTCTGGCCTGTAGGGCAGAGATCTGAGTGGTGAGATTGGGTGGGACTGGGAACTGACATTGCAGAGCAGAACATTTGGTTTGTTAGGGATTGGGAGCAGGCAAGGTAAAATGCTGCTCAAATCATTGTGGTTACACTTGAGGCTGGAGTTAGGGGTCCAGAGAATCTGTTTTGAGCAGCTCCCAAGTCAGCTGCTGAATGGAGGGAGGATTTGTATCCCACCAAGGGGTGCTACAGCTAGAGGACAGCCTCCTCAGCTGGATTATGGGTCTGGTTCCTTGGTAGACTGTAGTGAAATACGAATATTGCAGAGCTTTAGAGGTCGCCAGCTTTACCTGCGAAGGACGGGGTCATTCCCCACCATGGAGGGTCCACCATGGTGGACGTAGCCATGGCATGTGAGCAACAGGAAGAAAGTACTTGATACTGAAGTGCTTCCGGTGTAGTGAAGAAAGTTTTAATGATCTCCAGTATCTGTCAGATAAAGCCCAACACGCTGAAGTGAGGAAGGTGAGTGGATGGGAGGAATCGACTTTGAGCAGCGAGGATGATCACAAGCACAAAATTGGACCTCTGACACCTTCATACCAAGACTGACATCCTCTCTGATCAAGACACGCAAAGAGTGTTGGGTGTCAGTGGTAGTTTAGATGGGTGAAATAGGGTGTCTTATAGTACCCGAGAATAGACTTTGGCTTCCCTGCTAGGCTTAAAATATTTGGAATCGGGAAGCAACAAGTAGGGATGATGTGAATCAGCACAGATGCATGAAACGGGTTGATAAAATAACGCAACATGCTGAAATTTAACCTCTGAGTAAGAAAGTTGGACAATCAGGCCCAGCTTCCTTTGGCGCTAGGACAGGGTGAAGTTCCTGGCCCCTCACCGCGGGTTGCCATTCCTGGCAGGAGGACGAGCATTGCGGTACCTCAGCTTCTCCTTCCCAAGATGCAGCTGCTGATGTGTGGCAGCCAGGCGTTTTCCTGCGGAGGCACAGGGGTGCTGCCTGGCCTAACGCATGGCAGTGGTAGCAGGCTCTTGGTTCCTTGCGTAGTTCCTCTCTTCAGCCACGCCCCAGAGCTGGTTTGGCTGTGTGAGGTTACAGTCTTTAAGGGTTATGACACTCTGGATATACAGTATTTTCTGTTTTCCTCCCTTAAAAACTCTGGAAACTGAATACACTAGACTGACCAGACAAAGAACTGAAACTCTATCCCAGTTTCTTCCCCCCCTCCTTGCTGCATGGGTCACTGTTGGCAAATAAGTAGGAAGGCAGGAACTGGAGGGATCTATTCCAGAACTGTGTGTTGCTCCTGACAGTCTGCAGGCTTTTATCATCGACCCAGTGGTCCTACCTGGGTCGCGTTTGTGTAATGCTTGGAAGTTAAGGGGGTACCAGGTTCTTCCTCTACTGCCTTTTCAGCTGTATTTAAAGAGGAATTTATTGTAATTTCCAAATTCAGCTTTTGGGAAGGGATGGGAGAGGAGAAAGAGGTAATAGAGTAAGGAGGAAGGCGTGACACCAGAACCTCTGGATACAGTGTAAGAAAGCAAATCTTGAATGAATCTCAAATGAAGATGGGTTTAAATTGACACTGGGGAGGTTTAGCTTAGATATCAGGAAGAAGTTCTTCACGGAGAGGGTGGTGAGGCACTGGAACTGCTTGCCCAGAGAAGCTGTGGATGCCCCATCCCTGGAAGTGTTCAAGGCCAGGCTGGGTAAGGCTTTGAGCCACCTGGTCTAGTGGAAGGTGTCCCTGCCCATGGCAGGGGGGTTGGAACTAGATGATCTTTAAGGTCCCTTCCAACCCAAACCCTTCTGTGACTCTCTGATTCTATGCTTGGAAGAGTTATTGTGCTTTCAAGTTCACAGTAACCTGATTGCGTACTGCCACTGCAGCAGTTACAGAAATGTAGGCACAGTCATATGGAATGCGTGTGTATATACATATGTAAAAGATGTATCTATAGTAATAAACAGCATAGAACCCATGCTCACGTATTTTTTACTCTGAGAAGGTAAACTCCAGGTTGTTGCCCTCTCTGAGAACGGACTGAACGTTCAAGAGTGTCATTTATGCACGTCGCTGTGTCCTTTGCACGTGAGGGAAAATTCTCAGGTCTCGCCTTTAGAATGAAAATACTTTTAACATCGCAATTAATGTGGAGTCAATCGCAACTTAATTACCGACCCACTAGTCGCTGCTCTGACTGACCGTCACCACACAAGCCTGAAGGTAGTAGAAAATCCTTTTATTTATAGTGAAGCTGTCTGTGTAACTGGCTGTGGCTTTGCAGTGGAAAGTGGGTGTTTTTGTGCCATTGTGTTTTGGAAAAACCATGAGGAGGAGGCAGTCTGGGTACCTGGATTGCCTCCCTGAACCCAATCACTTAACAGCAATACAAAAGGAGGTTTCCGTCTGACTGACGGACCACCGTGCCTGAAAATGCGCTTTGTTTTAAATGTCTTTATTTTTTTTGTGTCCAAAAAAAAGCTAAACTTACTTACTCAGACCTACTGTAGCCTCTGGTAGCCCTTCTTTGAATACGTGCGATTCCTTGGCAGCCAAGCCATGGTGTAGACGATGCTGGGAAGAAGCTGGCTGCAGCTGGCGCAGTGTGGGCCGTCGTTCAGACACCTGCTCTCAACATAGCGCCTGCTTGAGGGGCTTTACTGTGCGTTCAGGCCAGCCTTTGGCTGGTTTTTGCTGCTGAGGGCCATTGGGCGCGAGTGAGAGCAAGCTGGCTGCAGAGGCAGGGAAGGCTGCCGAGGAGAGGGCACCAACACCATTTTTAAGGCAGGCACGAGTGTTCTGTTTGTGCCTTGGGCTGCTTATGGAGATCTGTGTAACAGCTGGGCCTGTGTTCGTCACGCAGCTGTCGCTGGGAGTCATTGGAACATTCTCTGTGTGGATGTTAAAAGCTGTAAACAGAATCCCAAGTAAAATTTAAGCAGCTGAGCTACAGCCTAGTAACATGAGAAACCGCCTCTGCCCGCTGCCCTCCGGGCTCCGAGATCACACGGGCTGGAGCAGTGCATTACCAGCCTGTGGCGTTTGGCATAGGTCCCGCTGTGCCTCCCTTACTCTCTGGATAGGATCAGGAACTCCTCCTTGTCACAGGGCTGGCAGGGACTTGGGGCTGGGGTTTGGAGTTCTGCTTGCCCTGGCCATGGTCCCCTCTGCCCCAGGAACGTGCGCAGGCGTTGCTCGTATCGGAGCCGAAGCAAAAGGCAAGCGGCTGCCTCTGCTCTCCGCCTTCAGTGGCCAAGCCAGAGAGCGGCTCCATACCCCCCGAAGTCTACAAAATCGGGTGATGGCACGACTGCACTGAAGTGTCTTCCAAGGACGGCCCTGGTGAAGGGCTGACACTGGCCTTGGATGCTGTTCTTCCAGCTGCACAGGCTCTAGGACACTACGTTAGAAAGAGGGAGAGCAGGAAGGAGCAAGAGAAGACTGCTGTTATGGAAGGGCTCTCCAGTGCGCACAACTGCGACCTCTATCTTAGAAGGTGGTGTTCTTTTTCCCTTGGAAAGAAGGAGTTCATGTACACGAGCCACAAGAGTTCCTGACGCTCACCAGACGTGTCAATACTAACCTTGGCAAAGACTACAATCCCCCTCCCTCCCGGAGCCGCGGTTAACGCGCGGAGCGGCACAGGACACTGTGTACATCTGTTAACAGCGCAGGGCCAGGGCACCAGATCAGACCGTGTGAAACGGAATCGATCTTATCAGCATACACACCGCAGATCCAAGCATGGAAAAAAAAATCACTGCTTCAGCTCTCGAACCACATGAACCGGCGTCGCTGTATTTTCTTCAGTGCGGTTGTACCGATTAACGAACCGCAGAATTTGTTCTTAGCAGTTTAAAAGTGTTTTCCAGCTTTGGACAGACTGGAAATTCAATGCAGCCACTGTCAGTTATTTCTGGCCTTCGGGTCAGATGCTGTCGCCCCTGGACTACAGACTAACGTACCATAACCAAGTGGCTCTTCCCTAGCTCTACCTCCTAGAATGTGACCGAGCAGACAAGACTTCTGCAGAGATCAGGCAGTCCATCAGTAGCAAAAGGCATGAACCTAAGCCCGAGATGCTAAGCAAAGTAAATTTTGGGAAACCCAAGCATCTAAACAAGGCTTCCAGGGCAAAGGTACTTCGGAATAATGTTCTCTGGCAACTGAAGGGGCGCCCGTGCTTCACCCGCATTACCCATTGCAGCAACAAGACCTTTAGTGGTCCACTGCAGGTACGTATTAGACAAACTCGTGAAAGTAACAAAATTAATGAAATTTTATTGGCAAAAATCAAGTTGAATGTGACCTGTGTCATTTAACAGAAGCGAGCCTCAGTTTAGCTTATCAAAATACTTCAGTTTTCCAGCTGGATCTGGAATTATCTGTGCAAGAAAGAAAATGAAAACGTTAAAGCCTAAAACCAAAACCACATAAGCACAACAAACTTTTAAGCCCAGAACAGCACAGTATTTCAGAATACAATGCTAAGGCCAACCCACAAGCAACACCGAAGAGTAATTTATCAGTTGACGTGATTACTGTTTATCTCTGAAGGTACCTAACAACAGCAGCAGAAAGATTTAACTAACTGGGGAAGAGAGAGTGCAGCCTGCCAGAGGAAGAATTTTGGTAGCTAGGAGAACGTACATCTAGGCCACTTGCCTCAAAAGCAAGAGACGTTAATGAATCGACGTCTGTAATCAAGAGTCTTAGAATTTACTTACAGTTCTTCCCTTGGCCACCACACTCTCATGGCTTCCTCTGGTTTGATCTAATTAAATCAAACACAGTTAGAAGGTGTGGCTACATCTTTGAGAAAGCCTTTTTCGAACTGCTCTGCTATTTAAATTATCTGCATCCTTTGCAGAGAGGAGAACGAGAATGCTTATGTATGTAGACCTGTAAATTGGCAGTACTGGGGCTGTTAATCTCAGCGCCATAAGGCTGTTTTTAGGAAGTATGTTAATGTCGTCTTATTTAGGTGATCCATGGTCACGGAGGGCAGAACTTTTCAGCACCAAAATACACCCGTTAGGCTGGCCGGCCCTCTTTCATTTTACAGTCTTAACGTCCAGCTTCCCCTACTAAGGCACTCTTCTGCGAGCTTGAGAGGTGACTCCTAGCCTCAAGTCATCCTGGGAAGCTTTCACATCCAGCAAGGAAACACGGTTTAACATCCCACTCTTTTTACTATCTATCACCATGCTCACTACTCCGCTTAGAGGCTGCTGGGATGTGTTTTGTTGAGACAGCTCCTGAACAGCAAGGCGCCCTCATCACCGGCTGGTTCGGAAGCCAGGCACGTGCCCGAATACGTGCCAGCGATCTCAGCTGAGCCAGGTGGCTCAGGCCTCTAGTCAGTCTCGTTACCCTGCTGAGGCTTGATGCAAGCCCGGAGAACACAAACGGGTTCAGTGGGTGCTCATCGGCACCCCCGCTCCTCTGCCTGCAGTCACCTCTGGGCCAGTCGTAACACAGGGCAGCAGAGCAGTGCTCTCTGCTGGGGTGCCGAAAGCGCACGCCGTCTGCAGATGCTGCAGCGGCCTGGCAGCTCCTGTCTGCCTCTTAATTGGGTAGTGCCGGGGGTAGAGCCACAGTAAGGCTCAACAGAACCAAGAATTTACTTGGACAAATAACTGAGAAGAAGGACGGACGCAAGAATTTCCAACTTCCTCCCAACAGGTGTTAACAGGGAACAAAGTTCTTGGTCACAAACTCATTGCTGCTTGAGAGCGTTTTCTTAGGCAGGGAATTTGAAACAACCGGAATACGTCTAGTGTGAGGGAAACTAATGAAATCAGTAGTCATCCAAAAGACCTGACTATAATAATGTGGGAGTTTACTTATACGATCGCACTGAAAGTTGTGAGGATTCTGGACTTGGCTTTAATGGAAATGACAACTGAGTGGTTTTAGTAGTACATGCGTTAAAAGAGAAGCAGTGACTTACTGTTTCACTGCCAGGTTTCCAACCGGCAGGGCAAACTGGAAAAAAAAAAAGGAGAAAGTCAGTACAAGTATTTGTACACACGCTCACCCTTGCGCACTTAATATTCTTTCTGAACTTGAAGTAAAACAGCACACCGGTGTCACACATTAAGTATCTGCAACCACTAAACATGCAGTTTTCTTTATACGTGGGATGGCGGCATAACAGTTTGTACCCGATACCACCTACCTCACTGGAAGCCCTGTATCTCTGGATGGATGCCTATGCCTCAGTTTAATTCTCGTGCCCTTCCAGCTACAGTACTGGCAAAGCAGTACCTGAGGAGGAACACCTACTCTAGTACAAACAAGTCTCACAACAGAAGTCAGGTGACGACACAGTGGCCAAGGTTACTTTCCTTGAAACCATTTTTTTTAGCAAAGAAACCAGTACAAAGGTTCCACCAGAGACTGAGCGATTTTATCTAAAGCCTCGCTCAGGAGCAAAGGGATTACAGCGTGCGGGCAACGTGCAGTGTGGCCGAGGGCCCCGTCAGCACCTGTACAGTTGCACATCATCTGGAGTGAAGCTCATTATCTGTTCAGAGCTCTCCCTCCCAGGCTACAGCCCCATGAGTTACACCATATGACGCTGCGTTAAGGCACACTGTTGGACAAAATACCACAAACGCGATCAGGGATTGCGGAGAACTCTCCCATTCTCTGCAAAGAATCCAAAAAGGCAACTAGGGATGCAAAAGCTGGCGAGATTCCACCTACAGCTGGAAAAATCGTGGTACCCTGGAAACACACTGCAGATCAGTATTCTGTAAGACAGCTTTGTAACTAAATAAGAGAGGTTAAATCTCCTTAGTCAAATGAGTGTAGCCTAAGTATCAGCATCTCTCTCTTCAAATCTGTACAGCAAAGCAGAGCAATGATTTCTACCTTCATATAAAGGTACTTTCAAGTGCCAGGTAAAACTGACTTCAAATGGCAATTGAACTGCTGCACGTGTGTATTAGTACTGAAACAAATCTTAAAACCAAAGAGAATGTGTTTATTTAAACACATCAGTTAAAGAAATGTGAAAAGTTCACCCTATGCTTGAGCTAGGGGATACGAATCCTTGAGACAAAGTAATGATGGGAAGCCGGCGAGGTTGTCAGGGGAAGATGATCGCATAGTGCTGGCAAAGAAAACACACGTAAGGGCAGCCCGACTCTTGCAGGATCACTGCGTATCCTGACGTGAAGCACTCTCCATTACCTGTCACAGATTCTCAGCGACAGACACAGGACAAGGATGGCCTGCAGCTCAGTTATTTTAGTACGCTCAAATGTACTGCAGTATTGGGCCTGATTCTTCATGGCCTCATATTACGCTCTCCATTCTCAGGGATGCAAAGCAAAATACGAATTACTACACCAGAAACAACCTATGGAGGTACCAGGACCACAGACTCTTGTGGCAGGGCAATCAAACCACCGCATTCACTGCATGAGGCTAGACTCTAATGCGACTGAGTACCTTTCTCCCCAAACCCTGCAAATACAGCTTCCAGTCTAAGTAAAACAATCTCCCACAAGAAAGTAGTTGAAAGAGCACCTTCTCCATGTTTGTCGGTGTATTGGAATGCTTGTACTAAACGAAGCGTTTCATCCACTGATCTCCCAACAGGAAGGTCATTCATGGTGATCTGTCGAAGGATTCTCTTCTCATCAATAATGAAAAGGCCTCTGTGAAAACATTTTTTTTTGGGGGATATGTGTTAGGAAACAGAACTAATTAGTGTTGCATTTACACACTATTTTATGTCTGTTGGATGGGAAGAATCTGATCTCTGCAAACCCCGTACAATACTCGCCGCCTTAGAATACTACTGACCTACTGTTCTTCAGCCAGGGGATCAGATGACGTGAGCTGATGGCAAGTTAAAACCAAAAAAGAACAGTTCTTTGCAGAACATAAAACTGAGCTTTGGCAGGCCCAGCCAGGGGATGTTTCAGAGCCTGTGACGTTACAGAGATCCCAGCAGCAACTAAGCAAGTTTAGAAAGATGCATCTCCATAGGCCAATAGTTACCCCTAGTTTTAACTCCACTTGGACTTGGGAGGTCCCCGAGTAACTGCACTTCTGGGGTTTGCTGCACATCTGCCTGGCCCTAGGTATGTGCTGATGGCTGCTGTTAAAGAGGATATGAACCTCCACCCCTTTTCTGACTCACTATGGCTTTATTTTTGGGTGTGTTCTTCAACATATATTTTCTCTCTCAGCATGAATCCCCAAGTCAAAGGTGCTCTCAAAGACAAATTTCAAATGCCTCTTTAGATAGCAAGTACTGCTCCAGCAGAACAAAATGAACTGTAACCAAGTGAAATACCTAAGTGTATGCCCTTGATCTTCCAGATATACACCATAATCCTTTGAAATTTGGTGTGTCAGATCTGAAAGGAGCGGAATCTTCATAGGTCCAAGTCCCCCTTGTTTTCGAGGAGTATTAATCCTTTGAAAGAAAATGAGACACACATGTTA